ATTTTCTTTTACTTATTTGCATAAATCACAAATCATTAATTCCCCTCCATCAACTCAACCTGCCCTCTCAGTTTTGTGCCTCACCAAATAAAGGACACACTACTTCCTGGATTGACACTGAATTTTGGCTATATGTAATTTGTGAGAATCAGAATCATTCATGTGGACATAATTGTGTGCATCCTCTTGGGGGAATTAAGTCAGTCATGGGTCATCGAATTTTATGGAACTTGCATTTCTTTCTTAAATTGCCATGGTGTTAGCACTTTCTCTACCAGAGAGAAGAATATTTTTGTAGTGTGAAAAGGCATATTGCTATGGTCTATGATAAGTTAAACCACACAAACACTAGGCCTAGTCTAGTCAAGGGGTACAATTGCACCAGGTTATCAGGGATTGCAAATACACCGTTTGGCATAAAGCAAAATGTGTACCCTTTATTTCAGGGCTTATAACAGGTGGTGGTTTCTTATCTGATGATTGTAAAATAGTTTGGGCCAAGAATTTCATTGGTCTTAATTAAAATCAAGCTAGGTTTGTGATGGTCATGTAGTATGATAACATGATAACATGTAACATGATAGGCGTTACATGACCTGTAGTCAAATAAAGGTTTTTGTGCTGTCTTTATTCACAATAATTCCAGGGATTGTGTACCTCTTTGACTTTTTTTGTGTGAAATGTAGATTATTTCCTTGGCAGAGGTAAAAGAATACTTGAATATTTACTGCATTTAACTAAACTCATTTGAAAAAATAAAGATGTGTGATCATGGCCATGTTGAAGTTAGATGTGTTTTTTGACATGTTTTCTTCTGCAGGTTTTAAGTTTTAACCACACACAGAACACAGACCCAGACAAGGGATGGAATAGTAAAACAAGGTTTGAAACATTCTGCCAAAGCTTTGATCTCAGCAGGCTCTGCTACTGCTTGATGATGAATCCAAAAAAAAACTGACTGACAACACATGAAATTCACATTCCTCATTGTTAACAAAAAACTTGTGGAAGCAATCTTAGTATCCTGTCTTAGTATAACCTGACATGCTGTTTTGGGAGGAGATCTGAATGTTGTTCAGCATCTCTGAGAAAATCATTGACCAGAGCCTGAAACTGCAGGGCACTGGTAGGACCAAAAGGAATGACCAGATATTCATAGTGGCCAACAGGAGTATTGAATATCCATCCAGGATCCTTATGAGATAGTAAGTGTTGCGCAAGTCCAGTTTCGATAAGACAGTGGCAGACTGGAGGGGCTCAAAGGCTGGGTCAATAAGAGGGAGTTGACAATTGTTTTCAACAGTTATCGACACCACAAATGTCAGGCAGAGAGGGTGACCTTTTTGTTTTACTCACTGAAGAGGGGGAGGGATGGATGAGATCTCACACTCAGGACAGGATAGATTATATAATAAGTATGAGTAAAAAAGTATAAAGTTACACTAATGAAAAAGACTGACAGAGATGAATGGAGCCGCAATGTCAAATGTTATGATTATAGTAATGATAGTGCCAATCATAAGCCTTTGTAAGTCTCCCACCGCACAAGACAGATACAGGAAGAGGGGACACAGGGAAGAATAGAGAAAAAAGAAGAGAATCTAGAGTCATGGCTGGAGCCCTGTTTTCCATGAAATGTTGTGGAAGGATACGGCATACCCCACGAAGATACCAATACAATTTCGGTGCAGATCTGGATCATGGGGTAGATCCAGTGTCCCAAAATAAATCCAGCAAGATAGGGCGGGAGAAATCATAGCTGTGAAATTTGAATTTTAAAAAGTTCAATTGTCCCCCTCCTGACAATTCTGCCATGCAAATTACTCACTGATTGCTGCACCCTGTGCAGCGCATTAGGTAACTATTACCATCTTGGCACTTTCATTTTGAAAATCCAGCACTTATTCATGTTTCCTGGTAACATCCTGTAACTACCTGCAGGCTTTTATTTTGAAAATCCAGCCTCCTTTCAACTTTCAGTTGTCGTTCGCTTTACTTCAAATCAAATCAAATCAAATCAAATTTTATTTGTATAGCCCAAATTCACAAAACACATTTTGCCTCAGAGGGCTTTACAATCTGTACAGGTAGTGACACCCTCTTTCCATAGACCCTCAGTTCGAGTGAGGAAAAACTTGCGCACAAAAAACCCTTTTAACAGGGAAAAGAAGGTGGAAGAAA